CACAACATGATCTACTCGACCACCATTATGGTTACCGCAAAAAAAAAAAACGAGGTAAAAAAAAAAAACGGTAACCTGGTTGCCGAGTTCACGAAGTGAATTGGCTTGTTTTACAACGTCGTTTCCAAGCGACGAAAACCCAATCCCGATGGCAAACACCGAGTGGGGGGCTTGTTTTACAACGTCGTTGCCAAGCGACGAAAACCCAATCCCGATGGCAAACACCGAGTGGGGGGCTTGTTTTACAACGTCGTTGCCAAGCGACGAAAACCCAAACCCCGATGGCAAACACCGGGGGGGGCGGGGGGGGGGGGGGGGTAGTTTGGGTCCAGAAAAAAAAAATCGTGTACCCTTGGCGGCCTTTTTTTTTCGCCAGAGGCGAAATGTTTTTCGTGGGGGCTTTTTGTGCTGGAAAGAGGCATATCCTGCCATTAAAACACGTAAAAAACACGATAATTGACACTTGAACGCTATATTTGGTTGATTTTTATACGGAAAAGCCCAATTTTTCGCTCCGCTGGCGGCACCCTCCGGGGGCTCCCCCGGGGGGCTCCTGCGGGGGGGCGCATCGCGCCCTCGGCTCGGGTCTGCGCAAGCGCAGACCTAACCTCCGGACTTTTTTACTCTCTGCTTCACATTCAGATTTGGTTGTTGGACCGCAAGATCCACAGAAGGACTCTCTTGTTGATTGGGTTTCATGTTGAATGGGATTAAAAAAATTTCCAGCGGTCCACTCTTTAGGACTTAAAACAGGACGACCCAAACCGAAATCGGGTTAGGAAAAATGGTGAAATGATTTACAGTGGGGGCTACGGTTTTAGAGAGGGGTGTACATGTTGTGTGCATGATGACCAAGAATACCTCTCTCTCTTAAACACGACCTCCTCGTAGCTAATCCGAGGTTTTCTCTTAAACAGGGATTTCGGTTTAAGAGAAAACTATCATAAAACGAGTATACGCCTTTTTAACAGGGTCTAGCCTGATTGAAGTGATGAAATATATTTTTTAATTTTTTTCCACAATATGTTCGTGCGTTATTGGCCCTCACCCAGCGTGATTTTCCTCCTTGTTGTTGTGGACGAAGCACAACAGAACACAGAAACAGTAGCAAATGATACACTCTGTATGTTTGTATGTAATTCCGTGGTCTCCAAGGTGTACAGCAGCGTATCCCGGCATGGGTGGTTCGTAAACAGTGGGGGGGAGGGGGCGTGCTCTTACGTTTCCATGCCTTACTTAGACCGTTGACGACGCTTCCTCGAGAAAAGCGTCGAAGACAGATTGTTTCCACTGTCGTCGTCGTCGACGAAATGTTGTTGCATTTCGTGTACGAACGAACCAGAACGGACTCGTCGTCTCGTCCGTGTGATGGGTGATGCATGAAGGTCACGGAATGCAGACCTCCTCAACGGCGTCAAGTCGGCAGAAAACGGCCTCATTCTTCGCATGAGGAAGTGTCGTACAGCGCACGTCGTTTTCAGGTCCTCTGTATGACCGACCCACCAGCGATGTACGTTTGTTTGAAAAATGGCCCACAGCAGTGCTATAGCTAGCGTCGTTGAATATGGACGTCGTTTGTGTCCGATATTTTAACATGTTTTTCGCCTTTGACTTGACTTCGAATGGAATGACGTGCAATCGGCCGGCGGTGGCCTATCGCGCATAGATAAAAGTAAGTGTAGATGTGTGCCAGTGGGGTCGTGCGTGTGGTGTGCGTCTGGAAGGTGTCTGCGATCAAAGTGTGTTTCTTAGGCATTCTTGGGCTGGGAACTGCAGGGAGTCGAACTCTGAATGAAATCAGGCGGGCGGGCGTGCCACGGCAGCTGCTGCCCCCGTCCATCTATCTTTCTCTCTCTCATAACTAAATACAATTCCCTCATAAGTACGTTATTCCAACCATAACCAACACTTTCTGAATCCTAGTCTCCGTCTCATATACTTTTCATGGCCTTATTTGAAGATATATCAACCAGAACTACCCTGCTCCCAGAGCCAACATTCTCAAGTCCATTCCATTACGCCTCAACATCTATACTGCCCCAAGTTTCTGACACTAAAAAAAACTAGGGTTGACTTACGGCACGACATTCGCCCCCACCAGGTTCGACGTATACTTGTCTGCGATTAGTTTCGTTTGAATCAACACTTAACCCCAACGTGCAATACCTGACCTACAACCAATATCATCATTCCCCTGAAACAATTCCGTACCTTAAGCACCCAAAACATCAACTGATGTGTTCCACACTCCGATTAATTCCGTAATGACTGTGATACCACTGCAATATGACTCCATCACAAGGTACATTCTTTAGCCAAAACAAGAATTGCTCAAACACAACATATAATTTTGACCCGTATTCGACCGCACCACTTGGCACGCTTTTCCGCAGTCGTAAGCACTTCCAATTCAAACACCTAATCGTCTTCCAACTCAAACATGTACTTCTTGACACTTTTCGCCGTTCGGTGTGCATGCATCCGGTGTGCATGCCAGCACCACGTTCCTGGATCTTGTACTATGTAGGTTGTCCGTCGTCATATTCTTCTTCAGAAGCGCCACGTTGATGTTTTTGCCGATGTCCACCAGCTTGATGTGCTTGATGCCTTCTTCCCACCTCGGATCCGGAGTCACCTACACCACTTTCTTTCGCAAACTGACACCCAGCCTTTAAGTCTAAAAAATATAAATAGCCCTTGTGTCACAGCAAAGTTTATAATCGTCTCTCTCCCTTCCTGCTAGCAATCGTCCTCTTTTGGACCCTGAATGCGGTACCTCCGATACCTAATGTTCCCTCCGGCCGATTGTTCCGGCTGATCATTCCAATACTTAAGTACCACGTGTCCATATTGCTACAACTCTACCTCATGCTCCCACGTACACTTAGTCAACCCCGTCCAATGCGTGTAGTACTGAACCGCCCCCTTACCACTGATACCTCGACACGGGACCAATTCTTTACTATCCGCTTCTTCCTCCACGCCCTCAGCCGTGAGATGGAACGGAGGCGCTAACTCAGAAAACATTTTCAAGAAATACTTGCTGAAACCCCCCGGAAAAAACCTAGACCTATCCACGTTCTCATGCGGAGTATAACACTTCTTACACCGATACATCGATACCCTCGAGCTAATGTTTTATCCCTGGAACATTCTCATTCATTTCCAAAAACAATATATTTTGGAGCCCCCCACATGATTTTGGATCTTCTCTCTCCACCCGCTTCTCATTTATCTCTCCCACCCTTGCCTGGTCATCCACCAAGTTGTACGGCCCAGTTGCTGCCAGCGAGCCGTTCAACTGACCGTCAAATCATCAGTTCTGCATCGCCCTCCGCCTCATCTTCATGCGATTAGCCTTCCAACCCCCCAGGTGGTTCAACCATCTGTCCCACCTTGCCCTTTTTGCACATCGTCATCACCACCTGACATACGACGATTGGAGCTGCTGTCATCGAATTTTGCCTTGACAGTGGTGCTCTTGAGCTCTCTTCACATAATACTCTGAGGATCTAGCCCTGCGTGGCTCCAACAGCCGCAACCCTTGCATGGACAGTGCATCCCTCGCCATTCTCTCATCCACACTAAGGCGCTTTGCCATCCCCCCCGACATCTCAGAACGCCTTGACTCTTCACCCGAGGCCCTTTTGCCAGACGCCTTTCCCGACTTAAAGACACACGTTTTTTCAACTGGTCTCC